CAAGCCAGGCAGACGTGTTGAAGTCTCCCAGGCTATCCTATGATACCTGCACAGCGTTTTTAAAAAGCAAGTGTATTACAGTGCTACATTGGTTTCCCAGGGCTGGAACACCAAAATCAAGGTGTGGGCAGGGCCGAGCTCCCTCTGCAAACTGTAAGGGAATCCTTCCTCAGCTCTTCCAGCTTCTGGTGTTTGCTGGCAATCTTTGGCATTCCTCGGCTCGTAGATGTGTCACGCCAACCCTCTATCCTCACATGGCCATCTTCCCCCGTATGTCTGTGTCTCTCTCCTCTTATGAGGACACCAGCCATATTGGACCAGGACCCCACCCTGCTTCATGGTCATCTCGTCCTATAGAATGACATCAGCAATGGACCCTAACTCCAAATACGGTCACACTCGGAGGTTTTGGGGATTAGGACTTGCACATAATTTTCGGAGTTTAACTCATAACAACTGCTTAAATCGACAACAAATCCCCTTGCCCTTCCCACACCGTCCTGCTCATTCGCTCCATATTTCTGAGTACCGTTATTACGTCCTCGTGATTTCTCCCCTAGTGACTTCTGGTAGCATCTGGGGGCTTAGTTCTTCAGTATCACACCCTCCCTGGGTCATGTGCTAAGGAACAATAGATGTATGTCTTCATTTTTATTTATTTATTCCTTCATATATCTAGAAAATGTCTTAAAAATGTCTTTATTCTGGGGCCCGGCCCCGTGGCAGAGTGGTTAAGTTCGCGCGCTCCGCTGCAGGCGGCCCAGTGTTTCGTCAGTTCGAATCCTGGGCGCGGACATGGCACCATTCATTGAGCCACGCTGAGGCAGCGTCCCACATACCACAACTAGAAGGACCCACAACTAAGAATATACAACTATGTACCGGGGGGCTTTGGGGAGAAAAAGGAAAAAAAAAATGTCTTTATTCTATCCCCATGCCTGGTATTATTGTTTATTTAGACATAAAATCTACATAGAAAATAACTTCTGTCTAGAAAGCCTTAGAATCTTCCACCATCCAGTGTTGGTGATGAGAAAAGCTATGTCATCCTGTTTGCTGGTCTTTGTATATGGCCTATTTCTTTCTTCCTTTCAGAAGAAGGACCTCTTTAATCTGCGGAATTCTGCGATTTCAGTGCTTGGTGTGGGCCTTTTCAACCTGGGGAATAATTAATTGTCCTTTGGTCCTGGAAGGTTTTTGATATCGTTTGTTGATAATTTCTCTTTTCTCTGTTCTTTCTTTCTGGAACTTTTATTATGCTGATCTTGGTGCTTCTGAATTTATTCTCCAAGTACCTTTTCTGTCCTATTTTCCAGCCTTTCTGTTGAATGTTTATCTTCAGATGTGACACCTTAAACTAGCTAATCCTCTTTCTTCATGCAAGAGCATGCTATTTTACCTTTATTGATCCAGGTGTTTTGGGCTCTCTCATCTGGAAGATTTCTTAGATTTCTGATGAAATCTTAGATTTCTGCCTCTTTCTTAATAAGAGAGAGGCACTTAACCCGGGTGCCAGTTCTGTGTGTAGAGAGTGACCTGTTGACGTGGGTGTCACCATGGGTGGTCAGGTGATCCAGCTCTTCACTGGAGAGAACCACTAATCTTGATATCGTGGCATATTTTCTCCAGGGATAGGCAGTTTCTGTGGCCTGGCCGGCACATTCCTGATTGCCTGCATCTGGAACGGGCTGAGGAGACATCCTTTAGGATGCAGACTCAACACAATTTGCTTGTTACGGTCCGGAGCTTAACCCCTCACTGAGTCTAGTGCCCTCCCCAACATCTGGAGCCTGTTCCTTTTCTCCCCAGAACTGAGACCTGGGAAGTTTAAGTGCCACGTCTGGAGGTCCCACAGTTCCTTAGTAGCTGAGCAGGAATTGGACACAAGATATCCTGACTCAGTGGCAGTGGAAGCTTCTTGGAAGCAAGGCCAATAAATTAGTCAACATTTGTCCCCAAGACCTAGCACAGAGCCTTACACACATACTCAACAGATGGATGATGAGGAGGATGCCGGAGGAGGAGGAGGTAGTATTTTTTCTTGCTCTCGACTAATATTCTAAAATGAAATCAAACTTAAACCAAGCCCTAAGGTAAACATGCACAAATCATCAATTTTCCACCAGTATTCTGGGGAAACCCATTATACTGAAATAAACAATAACATAATGATGATGAAAAGTCACCTGAATTTTTATAATTGTAAGAAATCAAGGAAATTTCTGCTTACAAGCTGGGGCCCCCACGCCCAAGACTTGCGTCCATTCACTGCTGGCATCAGCAGTCAAAGCGCTGTCCTAACCGTGAAGGACTGGCCATGTCCCGGGACGTGGGGTCTTTGAAGAGTTGGCTCTGGGGGCCTCATACCCAGAGCTCGCACTCCTTTCAGCCTGGGAAGGGCAGTTACTGGTGATGGGGTGGCTCCAGCCAGCCCACACAACCTAGTAAACAGAAACTGGAAAATAACCACCAAGGGTGAGATGGCAGCAGGAGTGCCAGGGCAGTGGGAGGGAAGGGGCCTCTGGCGGCCGTGGGCATAGGGAAAGAGGTGACGTGTGAAGATGCAGAAAGTAGCCAGTCATCAGCCAGCAGGTGGCAGGACTCCTGCTGCTGAATTAGGGCCCCAAACCAGAAAGATTCTTGTCGTTTCATGGGGAAACAAGGGACCCCTGGGGAGGGCGGCGGAGATTCTGGCAAGGATCAGGGGCATCGAGCCAGTCACCTCCAAGGCAGGAAGCACAAGGCAGGGGTGATTCTACCACCAAATAGGTCCAAGACGGGGACACCTTCCCAGGAATCGGGACAAAGGACAGTGCAGGTGGGGTGGGTGCCCAGTGCCCTGCACAGACCCAGAGCGTCTTCTCTCCCTGCTAAGCCCGGAGGCCCCGCCCAGAGTCCGGGGGTGGTTGGGAGTCACATGGTCCAGGTGAGGGGTGATGGCAACAGGAGGACAGGGACCCAGCAGACCTGAAAGTCTCCAGAAGAGCCTTGGCTGCTTTGTATTCATGGTTCTCAGCCAGCAAGCTTGACATCCCTGGTCGTTCTCCAGAGTTACGGCAAGGGCGCCCTGAGATTAATGTGGGCATCCTTCCTATGCACTAAGTAAATAAAAGCCAAAAACAATGATATCAGAATTCCAGTATTTCTTTTGATCTAAATAGGGGCTTTTATGCTTGAAATGGTTGGAAAGCACTGTTCTGGGACACAGAGATGCAAAACACAGCCATGATGTGCGCTGACTCCTCTCTCCTCTGACCTTGCAGGACGATGCTGAAAGAGCAGTACATCGACAAGACGCGTGTGGCCGTGTTTGGGAAGGTGAGCTCGGCTGCTTCTTGTCTGAACACCTCCTGTTCAAGAACACTGAGCTGTCCTGGTTGACTGCGGGTGTCTCTGGTCGGGTGTGCGAACAGTTACTCTCTTAAGAGCGAGAGGTTGGGCACTGAGTGGTTCCAGCAAAGGGAGCCGTCGTCTGCTGGCTCATTTGTCAATGTTTCTTTTACATCATCTGGAAGGAAAGGAAGAAAGAAGCCAGGTCCTATGGGAGCGCTCCGTCAGGTTCCTAATTGCTTTCCTGGCGTAAGCCTGCCCCAGGAAAGAAGGGAGGCAGGCGTCCTTACTTCTGCGTATCTTCTTGTGCAGCAGCCACATTAATTGAGCAGGTTCGCTGAAATGGAAGGGAGGGAGTGGGAGGTCACACTCTGAACTGTCAAGCCAGAGAAGCTTCCAGGGGATGGCCCACATCCGAAGTCTGTAGCCTGGTGCAGTGGTGGCCCGTGGCTGGGAGTCAGGTCTGTGGAGGGCCCCCTAGTATCGCCGGGGCACGTGGTCCCCCATTCTCAGATGGCCTGGACCCTTGGCCTCTTGATCTCAAGAAGGCGAGAGCACAGAGGGATAGACCCGGATCCGTCTTCGGTCTGAGAGGACGGCTCGCAGCAGAGGCTCGTCGGCGGTGCCTCGCAGGGACCTGCCTGCAGGTGGAGGCATGAACAGGTGATCACAGGAGCACCTCTTACAGCATCGCCTCCGGAACCTCCGAGCCCAGCATTCGATGGGAGCAGTGTGCATTTGAGACGTGGCCCCACCCTGTTGGGTGACCCCAGAAATGGCGTCCTGGAGCCCTCCCACACCCCCTCCGCACTTACTTCCTAGGGGAGGGACTCAGAGCCTGGACACAGGGACCTAGAGGCTCATTCTGTGCTAGGGAGGACCCTGTGAGGGGCTCAGAGCGAGCTGGATGGATTATAAGTGTCACTTGGGGTGACAACACTTATCACCCATCCCCTCCCACATGGGAAAGTTACTGCCCCACAGACTGCTGCCAGCTCAAGGCAGAGCGCCCAGGCCTGGGTCACTCTGTGTCCAGTCTTCACTCCTCTCCAAACACACGTGATGCTATTCCTGAGAGCTTGGCCTCCCTTCTCTGGCTGCATTCCCAAGGCGAGCATCTCAACATAGCCCAACCCCTGGGACCTTTCAAAATTCACTCTGGGGGCCAGCCCCGCGGCGTAGTGGTTAAGTCTGGCACACTCCACTTCAGTGGCCTGGGTTTGCAGCTTCGGATCCTGGGCACAGACTTATACCACTCAGCAGCTGTGCTGTGACGGCAACCCACATACAAATTATAGAAGCAAGTTACAGGAAGATTGGCACAAATGTTAGCTCAAGGTGAATCTTCTTCAAGCAAAAAAAGAGGAAGATTGGGAACAGTTGTTATGTATTTGTATGTGGCAACCCACATACAAATTAAGGAAGATTGGCGCAGATGTTAGCTCATGGCCAATCTTCTTCAAACAAAAAAAAGAGGAAGATTGGCAACAGTTGTTAGCTCAGATCCACTCTTACTCAGGGAAAAAAAAAATTCACTCTGGACAAAGAAGATGTAGGAGTCAGCTAATAGCAAACAGGCTTTCCCCAAAGTGATTGATTCAGCGGCATGGGCAGAGAGTGTGCTGGGTGGAAAGGGGAACCTGTACACCTTTCAAGAATGCAGCTCACCTCACTCTGTCACTGGGACAGGAAAAGGGAGTGTGTCCAGTGCTCTTTGCTAGGCACCTTTCCCCATTCATTCTGCCTCAGTGGCCCCCTGCCTCATGCAGTAGTGCCCCTTAGATGGAGGTGTTGTGGACCCATAATTGCATTTCTCCTCGGAGGAAATGAGCTGTTGGTTCTTTTAGCTGATCAGCGTTCTGCAGGCTCTCCCCGTTTCCTTCCTCAGTCTACCTCAGTGAGTCTGGGTACAGCCCGGGTCCTGTGCCCCCTTCATCACGGAGCACAGGACCTCCTGGAGCCGCAGAGGCCCCCTGGAGCTGTGGCTGCTCTACAGGTGTCCTGGGGGACGGGGGAGGGACAGCTGTGGGCTGCGTTCTGCAGGTTCTGGCCTGTAGACTACGGGTAGCCTCTCGCTGAAGCCCTAGTCTAGGCCCTGAGGTTCTCTAGGAAAAATGTGTTCAGTGCTTTTTTTCTTAAAGACTTTATTTTTCAGAGCAGTTTTAGGTTGCCAACAAAATCGAGAGCAAAGTACAGAGAATTCCCCTTTCCCTCCACAGACACAGCCTCCCTCGTTATCAACATCCCTCCCCAGAGGGGTACATTTATTAGTATTGATGAACCTGCCTTGACACATCATTATCACCCAGAGCCCATAGTTTACACGACGGTTCCCTCTTGCTGTTGCACGTTCTATGGGTTTAGACGAATGTATAATGACATGTGTCCATCATTAAGGTATCAAACTGAGTATTTTCACTGCCCTAAAGATGCTCTCTGCCCAGCCTGTTCATCCCTCCGCAGCAACCCCTGGCAACCACTGCTCTTTTTACTGTCTCCACAGTTTTGCCTTTTCCAGAAGGTCTTATAGTTGGAATCATACAGTGTGCAGCCTTTTCAGATTGGCTTCTTCCTCTTAGTGATATGCATTTAGCTTTCTTCCAAGTCGTTTCATGTCTTGAGAGATCATCTGTTTTTAGCGCTAAATAATATTCCATTCTCTGGATGTACCACAGTTTATTTATCCATTCACTGACTGAAAGACATCTTGGTTGATTCCAAGTTTTGACAATCATGAATAAAGCTGCCGTAACCATCCATGTGCGGGTTTTCATGTAGATATAAATTTTCAGCTCCTTGAATAAATACCAAGGAGCGTGATTGCTGGATCGTATGGTAAAAGTATGTTTACTTTTGTAAGAAATCACCAAACTCCCGTCCAAAGAGGCTGCACCCTTTTGCGTTCCCACCAGCAATGAGTCAGCGTTCCTGGTGCTCCACATCCTCGCCAGCATTTGGTGGTGTCAGCCAACACTTTTTTTAAAAACAAACTGCAGAAGGACTTATAAGGACTTGTAGATCCCACTGGCAATAAATATTATTAGCCAGAAACCAAAAGGACTCTTTTATTGCCATTAAGACAAGATATTCCTGTTGTACTGAAGGAAACTATTAGAAAATAATATAACGGAGCAAACATATAGGTGATAAGCGGTTAATCCTACAGTGAGTTTGGCATGGTGTGGGCTCCACAGACTGTCTCCATCACGTCTGTGGGTTCCCACACTCCACACACACATGCTCACACATGCTCACACATGCTCACACGCAGTCCCCATGCCATACCCTTGTTCTCTGGAGCCTTTGCTCCTGGCCCTCCCCACCTTCACTCATCAAAGCATCACATCTGTGTCCCATTCCCTTTGGGTCTTTTGGGGGACTGGAGCACATCTGAATCAAGCAACTTTGAAGGCACCCATGGCAGATAATGATGTAACATTTTACTCTCTCTGAGAGGCCCACATTGAAGTAGGGGTCTTCATGTCAATCCCAAGGAAGGGCAATATAGGAATTTATGGAATTACCCATGGACAGGACACGGGTGCATGTCTGTCTCATGTAACCCCTGAGCTGAGCATCATGGCAGACCAGTACAGGCGCCCTTTGACACTGCTTCCTGGTGGGCCCTCCCTCAGAATCACGTGGAATGATTGGTTTGCCTAGACAAGGAAGGCAGCAAGAAGAGCTGTACAAAAGTGCTGATTTGGAGGGGACTTGATAATAGCCTTACCCTTACATGGCATTTCCTAGTCTACAGTCGCACTTCCACTTCACTATCACGCTTCATCGTCCCACCCCTTGAAACTGAGGCACAAAAGCTGGGAAGACTCACATCACATAACTAGCTGGAAAGGTATCTGCTTTTCATCTTTTTACCCCCTAAAGAGTTTTAAGTTAAAAGTAAAAACAATGTGAAAATGGTTGCTCGAGTGGCTGATCTTATTATGTCTGAGGCTCTTTCCACGACTGCGTTGTTGACGTTGACTCCCACTTTTCTCCCTTCCCTCTCTCTTTCTCAGGATTATGGCGGGTACCTGAGCACTTACATCCTCCCAGCAAAGGGTGAAAACCAAGGTCAGATTTTCACCTGCGGCTCTGCCCTGTCTCCAATAACAGACTTCAAGCTCTACGGTAAGGTCTTGACTAGACGTGTTGGGCCGCAGCAGGGCCCCACTGCCCTCCCCTTCGGCACTGCGTTCCACCCGCCTCCCTCCCCTCAGGCGCCCACAGTTGAGGATAAACTACCACAGTGTTGTGTGGCTAATGGGTGAACCTCATAGAGAGAACCTGGTTTCAAGTCACTTGTTGGATGAAAGTGGTCAATCCACTGATACCTATGAATCACTTCCCCAACACCCAAGACCAGGAGCTAAAACAGCTAGTGGTTCCACTCACAATAGGCGGAGTTGGAAAACCCTCGCCTGCGAGCAGGAGGGACAGAGGTGTGCTGCCGTCCCTGAGGGCTGCCCTTCCTCTTTGCTCCCGGAGCCTGGGCAGGGCCCTGCACTGGGTCTGTGTCTGGGGCGTGGGGGTGTTTGGCGGGCAGAGGTTAGTGAGGAGCATGGCAGCTACTTGGTGAGCACTGGGGGAGATGTGATGGCTCAGCTCTGCTCTGCTCTCTGCCTGCCCTCCTCCCTGGCAGCCCCTGGCCAGCGCCGTTCCTTGGGGAGACTGTCTTTCCCATGGCCAGAAGCCTGAGATGGGGGACGGGGTGTCAGGATGACTTGCTGAAGGGACCAGGCGGAGATCAGGCGTCCCAGCTGTGGGAGCCAGACCTCTGCCCAGGCACAGAGGTGCCTCTATTGTCACTGTTTTGGGGTTCGAGGCTCCCTACCTTCTCCTCCTTCTGGTCAGCCAGCCCCTTTCCTCCGAATGTGCATGGCTTTGTGACATTAACCTCTTATTTAAATGTGCAGAGAGGTCTTTCATGTGGGTCTGAGAACTTGCCCTCAGGCCAGGGCTACAGGGAGGCTGGCTGTTAGCCTGCTACCCGCACTGCACTACGCTCACTAATAAGATGGCAAACCAGGAGCGCTTTTTGTCGCTGGTCTGCGGGAGCCCTGCTCAAAGCCTGTGCTCCCTCTGGTTCAAAGGCACAGGTCCTACTCCCCTGGCTGCACCCTTCCACGTGCCCCATCTCAGTACTACTGGACCCCGGGAAACAACCCAGGGGTCACGGTGGGGTCCAGCAGCCCACTGGTTCCTGCAGCCAAAAGGCTCAAAACAGATGTGCTAGTCTTTACAAAGAGCTCTAATGCGAATTTCAACTTATAATCGTACAAGAGCTCTCCTAATTCAAAATTTTAACAATTAAAATTAATTTTCCAATGGGAATACATGTAGCATATTTCATATTTTTCAAACTCAGTGAGACTTTCATAATTTTTTTAATCATGCTATTTCAAACCTGCCTGATTTGAATGCACACAAACACCAGCATCCCCACGCTTGGCTTTGTCACAGTGCCCAAGAGGGAAAGCCGCCACACTGTCTCTTCCACTTACCTATGGATTCCCTGAAACCTGGGGAAGCTGTTTGGAGCTCTTTGCATCCTGACTTCCCCGACAGGGCAGCCCCCGGGTCCTCATCCAGAACCCGGACCCGGAGCCAGGCTTTGGGATAGAAAGGAAACATGCTTAGACTTGTTAAAAAACTAAGTAAATCCTCATGGAAATGTGCTCTCTTATCATTTGTTCCCTTTTCCTGTATGTCAAAATGAAGTGAGAGGTATCCTGTTTATTTAGGATTCCAATTAAGTAGGTTTTGTGTAATTAAGGTTTTGCTCTCCTGCTACAAACCAACCAGCCACCACACTGGCAATTTATTGGTACGGTACTCTCGGATTCCCCGTGTAAGGACGCAAGAGGTTGAGACAGTTTTTTAAAAACAAACCTCTCCCATGTGCATGTAAGTGCGTCAGCCCTCCACGCCCCAGCCCTGTGCCATGGGCATCCCCAGAGTGCGGGGAGCGCCACACCCCCAGGGTAACCCTCCTCCCTCTGTTTGTGTCCAGCATCTGCATTTTCCGAGAGGTACTTGGGCCTCCACGGACTTGACAACAGAGCATACGAGGTATGTTTGGGCACAAGTGGGGAATCTGATGACCTCTGTCAACCTCTTCTCCAAATTCCCTCTCCCGCCCCTCCAACCCCCAGCCCCACTCTAACCCACCCTCCCTTCCCGGGCCCGCTGTTCTCTCCCTGTCCACTCTAAGGAAACCTTTGGGTCCATCCTTCCACCACACTGTGAACTGAGGGGACTGGGACCTCTCTCGGGTCAGTCTGCTTTCCCATTCTAGAGCTTGAGGGATGGGGAAGAGAGCCGAGAGCATCTTTGGATGGAGGAGTCTGTCCCAGGGCCCCTAGGCATTGGGTGTGGGTGACCGCCGGCTCCCCTGCGCCCAAGGCGGGTTCTACTTCGGGAGAATAAGCTATTGGTGGAGGGACAGCAGACTCTGATACCTCCTGCTAGGTCAGAGCCATTCAGTTGAGTCACTGCAGACGTCACACCTGGGTGCATGAGAGGCCAGGGTTCTGCAGGGCAGGACTGTGGCTTCAGTGTTGAAACTCCCACATGGACAACAGAACTGTCTGACCAGGACGTCACCTCCTAATGGCACCAGGTGAAACGATGGCCCTCTGAGACCACCTGCAGTGGGAGAAACTCTCTTTCTCTTCTCCCATCTTCTCTCCCACCCCTTCCTCTTCCTGAAAGGAGTTCACATAAGGGAGAGCTGAGGCTTCCGGGATGAGCTGTGCATTTCATTGCAGATACCTATAAATCACTTCCCCAACACACAAGACCAGGAGCTAAAACAGCTAGCGGTTCCAATGAAGCATCCCAATTCTCCCAGAACTTTCTGTTTCCAATGCACGGCACCCACCTTCTCAGTCAGATTTCTAGTAACAAGACCTTGCTGCCTGCGGTGAGGCCCGCTGATGCTCTCCCCTTGCCCCTGTGTGTGCAGATGACCAAGGTGGCCCATCGCGTGTCAGCGCTGGAGGAACAGCAGTTTCTGATCATTCACGCAACCGCTGATGGTGAGGACTAAGGATGTCGATTCACTGCATATCTGGTGAAAGCGTCACCATTGATGATGTTATGGGTTTTGACAAACACTTTCCTCTTTTTTTTTTAACAGAAAAAATCCATTTCCAGCACACCGCAGAACTCATCACACAACTAATTAAGGGAAAGGCTAATTACAGCTTGCAGGTACAGTATATGCCCATCCACTGGGTTTCACACTGGGAGAGAGACAGTCCTTTCCATGCAGAAAGCACTGAGTGCAGTCGGTGCGTCCCGTTTCCTCAGCACAGCTGCGGTACAGTTCCGGGAGATGGGCGGGGGCAGGTCAGATCAGACACATTAGCACCGGCTTACTTTTTCTACGAATTAGCGATAGCTCGGTTCTGCACTCAGGCTGTGTTTAAGCCCCTTTGGAGCTCCACCACCACCACCACCCACCCCTGCCTCCACTCCAGGCCGTGAGCAAGGCCACACCAACCAGCACACCACCCTACAGTGAGGTGATGGTGTCCCTGGTGTGTGAAGATGGGTCTCTTGTCCCAGTGCTGGTGAGAGCAGTGTGAGTGGGTCCTGAGCCCCCTCTCACTAGCCTCCCCCGGACAACACCGCACACTGACAAATGCTGGCAGGAGGCTCCAGAATCATCTGTGGCTGAGCAGCAGTTAAAGAGCGTTCCCCTTTCCAAGAGCCAGACTCACGGCTTCGTCCTATTGGCATCAAGTACGGACCCAACAGCTCAAGGCTGGGCTCCTTCCAGTGGTGCACAATGCTCCTTCTGGAAACTTCCTCCATTTCCTTCCTGACCACTGGTTCCTTCAGTAAAACAGGCATGACCCCGATGGTCATTTCAGGTCCAGAGATAAATGGGAGATTTCCTCAGCCGAGCGCCCTGTCTCCTGGTGCCCTGGCACTGACCGCTGGCCGCCTCTGTCGCCAGCTCCTGGCCTTCCTGCATGCTGTCTTGTGGAGGGTCACCTGTGGCCTGGGCCGGTCGTGCAGAGCTTCCTGCAGGGAGGGAGTTTGGCCCAGGGGTTGATGAATAGGGCAGGAAGGACGGAGTTAATGTCACATTTGAGCTCCCCTCTGAAAATGTTTGGGTCGTAGTAGACGCGATAGCTGCCGCAGCGTTATGAGACACATTGTACACACACGGTGCAGCCGTGGTAGGTGAAACGGCAGCCCTCCGTGCTGATGTGGATTGCTCCGCAAGACAGCGGCTACGTTGGATCAGCCAGGGGCAGCGAAAGGGACCCCGGCGCGCAGGGCCGTGCCTCAGGCACAGCGACGTTTCAACAGACACTCAATGAATTTGTCACAATGATCAACTCCAGATAATGGCACCAAGGGAGGGGACCCAGGAAAGGAGGGGCCATACTTCCTACTCTGTATCCTTTGTCCTGTTTGATGCTTAACGTACACGCACTAGCTCACTTACGTCATTAATAACGCTCTAAGATGAAAGCGAGCGCCATCCTCCAATGACGGGAAAGGGAGACAGAGTCCAAAATGCGGGAGGCAGCCTGGTGTCGTGGGGAGGACACGGGCTCCTGGGTGGATTAGACTTCCCTTGAACCCCTGCTGGGATAGGCCCCTTTGTGTGGAAATGGCGCAGTGCCCCTAGGGTACAGGGCGTGTTGTTACGTTTGGTAATGGGGTATCTGGCTGCCATCTTTTTAGGATTCACTATGTTCCAAGCCTCGTTCTAAGTGATTTATAGGTATTATAACATCACTTAATTTCACAAAACTTTATGAGCTAGATTCTCTTATGATGATCATCTCCACTTGGCACAACTGAAAACTGAGGCCCAGGAAAGTCACCTGTCCAGAGCCACACGGGGAGCCAAACCCAGGTGGCCGGGCCACAGGACTCGGTATGGGAACAGGCAGTTTCCCGCTGTCTCTGTGCTCTCGAGCTTGTCTCTGTGCTGCACGTTCGAACAAGCGGATTGAGACAGTGCAGAGTCTGTTGAACGAAGTGCTTTTTAGTTTAGTCAGTCGATTCACTGAGTGCCTGCTGCACCTGGCAAAGCTTCTAGGAGAAAAAGGCACTGACATGAGCACTGAAATGGTTCAGGAAATGCGTTTCCCAGGTTAAGTTCAGGCCTGCGTGGGCCCTGACCATAGTCATCTCCACATCTCAGGTGCATCCCCAGTCCCACTGGGAGGGTGGGCCAGCGTTCTTGACTCCTCTGTGCCTTCCTTGCAGATTTACCCGGATGAAAGCCATTACTTTAACAGCGCCTCCCTCAAACAGCACCTCTACCGCTCCATCATCAACTTCTTTGTGGAATGCTTCAGGATTCAGGACAAACTCCCGACAGCCACAGCAAAAGAGGAGGAGGAGGAGGACTGACCAGGAGCCAGCCCTAAGCACAACGTGGCTCTTCCTAGAACAGCGTACCACTGGGACCCTGCCTCCCTCTCCCGCAGAGGGCTGGGGTGGGGGCACGAAGTGTTATCGTTCCATAGCATGTATGTCTCGGGTCCTGAAGGCAGTTTTGCTTCTGAAACAAGCTCCTTCCCGGGTGGAGATGCGTCATCGCTCACGAGGGCTTCCGAGGAGCCTGGAACCATCACAGCATTGCCGCCCCCTGGCCCCAGAGTGACTGGTGCATCCCACAGCCCCTCCCCAAGGAACGGTATGAAGGACAGACAGCAGTGAAGAAACTGGCCCTGAAATTCCAGCTGTCGAGCAGTAGCATTAAGACCCACCCTCTACCGGAGGGCCGCGTCCACATTAGCAGCATCACATCCAGTCTGATATAACCACGCCATGGGAACAACTATAGCACAATTATTTTAACAGTACTTGTTCATAGATTGGCTTGCTCCTTTCTGTAATTAGGAGATTCCACGTTTAAGGGGCTGTACAAAGTATTACTGTAGCTATGCTAATGGTTAACCTTATGGAATTAATTCGTATTTTTCTATGGTTTTTACCTGACACTGTCTCTGGTCATGGGGTTGTTTTGCTGTGCCGTTTTTCATTTTCCTTTGTTTTGCTTGGTTTTCTTCAGTCAATGTGTAGGCTTTGCTGTTGTTTGAATGAAGAAGCAGATCAGAACTAACTCACCGCTCTCTCCAAGGTCATCTTCAGACTTTGCGGAGACATTTCAAACCCCTGAGGGGAAGAAATATCCATACGATTCACTAAAAAAAATTCACCAATAAACCCTCTCCCACCCAGCCACATCTGGATTTGGCTTAGATTTGCATTGTCCGCTTACAGATGTCTTTCGACCCATCCTTTGCCTCCTTGATAAGTTGTCAAGTCTTTTCAGATGACATTTGGTTGAAAAACATAAAAAGACAAAGTGTTGACCTCACCCCCAGGTCTGTCACATGCGCTCGGGTGGCAGGAAGCCGAGTCGCCTCCCAGCTCCTTTCCTGGGGATGGCTCGTGCCCTCCCCGCCGCCCAGGAGCAGCCACGTCGATGCTCTGCACTAGCCCTGTAGGATGCCCTCTGGCCAAGTGTGGAGCGGTGTCCTAGTGTGAATTTCCTTCTGTTGTGTATAAAGACAGGAACCTGCGTCAGGCATCGCCCGCCTTCCCCGCCCAGCGCCCCCACTCCCCTCTGCGTTCCGCATTTCGCTTGCATGCCCGACACTCTGGCTGATCTGCGCTCTCTAGAAGTGCTCGTTTGAAATATATTGATTACCGTCATTTCCTCTGGAGCTTGTTGACAAGCTGAATGTCAGTTCTGATTTCTCCAGCTTCCGGTCCTGCTGGAGGGTCCTTGACATCTTGTCAGCAGAGAAGACACGTCCATGTCTCTTTGATGTTTGGGGTTTGGTTTCACCCACGCGAGCTCTGAACGTCAGTTGTAGTTAGTCTGCTTGGGAGATCTCCATCACGGGATTTTTAGGGTGATCTGTCACTGTTGGTTAGAAGGATCAACGTGCTGACCGGTATGACCGCTCTGAAGGCTGCGTGATCGTGCTTGTGCTGTTTCCGTGGGCTTGGCCAACTGCAGAGCCAGCTAGGGCTGACGGGGGAAGCCTGCTCTGGCCACGATCTGGTAGGAGGGAGGTCAGAATGTGGCATGGTAGCGTTTGTTCATCCATGGAATAAAACATTATTTTACCACTCGGATAGCTCTTTTCTTACTTATCTTCCACCATCTCACCTTAGAGAAAGTGCGAAACTTCAAGAAGTTTGTAAGGTCCTCGTTGGACCCTAAGCAAGACTGTGCGTGTCCTCAAGAGCCTGGGGCGCGGCAGGTAAAACCTGCCTCCGTGGTGGCAGCAGTACTGATAGTAAGAAGGAGCGGACTGACCAAATAAATCAAAGTCCCCCAGTCAGAGAAAAGGGGTCTGAGTTGCATCTTGAAAGCTTTAGGGTGAAGACAGATTTTCCTACGCTAAGAGGAAAAGCGGCTCTCAGCTGAGGCCATAGTGTTGCCCCCAGAACGCTTTAGGAAAGCCTCCATCTGCTGGAAATCCCTTAATTCAGTGGTGGTGGTGTTGTTACTCGATGTCTGGTGTGAATGTAGCAGAGGGATAAAGCAAATAAACCCTTCCAAACCGCCGAGCGGCTTCTGCTGCAAAGAAACCAGATCAGTCCAGGCACGCCAGCCGAATCAGCGGAATCTCGTCACCTGCTTGACCAAGAGTTAAGAGCAGGAGATAAAACAAAAAAAGCCAGAAGCAGCAGGGGCTGTCCCGGCCTGAGGTGCTTATCACCCCGGCGGCGCAGTGTCACCGTGAGCCCTCTCCCGGTTCCACCAGGAGGGAGCTGAGTGCTCCCCCCAGCCTCTCACTGCTGAGGCCACGCCTCCTGGAGGGGGCTGGACACTCGGGTGGGAGTGGACGGGTTACACAAAAGGTGTGTTTCCCACTTTTGAAAACACAGGGTATAGGGTGACAAGACGAGACCGGCCCTGAGACCAGACACTGGCCTTGCTGGCTGGGAGCACTCCGGCTTCCCCTGAGCTCCCTCCGTCTTCCCCCAAGGGAAGGAGAAGTGGGTCAACTCCAGACAGTCTCGAGGGAAGCCTGTGTGGGCGAGCCGGGGCCCCTGCAGCTGTGTGGCTGGAAACCCGCCCAGAATGCCCCTGTGTGTTGCAGTTGGGGGTGTGTGACACATTTTGAGTTTTATTTTGGTTTTGAATTCGTTTTAAAAAGGTTTTAATAGCATTTCAGCTCCGCAGCTGTGAACTCCTGAGCACCCCTCAGTGCCTTGGAGCCCAGAGCAGGGGCACAGGCCCTACACGTGGGGCCTTCCTCTGTGGCACCTCCTAGGATGCGGGCTGCCACATGCACAGAGGTGCACATGGGGACCTCCATCCCCGCTGGCCTGGAAGCATGCTCCTCCCTCTCCTGCCCCACTCGACAGTCCCAGCATGATGATTTCTCGAAGGACTGACTCTGTTTGAACCCTGGAGTCACAGGAGAGGCCAGGAGGACGTTTCAGAGACTCCCGTGTCCCCTCTGCCAGCACACAGTGTGAGTTCTAGGACAATCACAAGGGGAGAGAAGAGGAAGCCTGGTGAGAGACGGGATGTGCAGAGAACGTCCAGCCTGAATAGAAAGCAGAGCTGGGACCCCACGCTGTGGCACTGCCCAGGGAGCCGCTGCACCTCCGCAGGCAGCTTCCCAAATGGCAGAGGCTTGCATCTGCCAACCTCCCTCGTTTTTGCCCCCACTTCCAACTTGGGACCAACTGGTAGAGTTAAACATGCTCCCTGAACAAGTCACATAGGAGCCCAGCTTCCCCGGCCCACAGCCTCCACCAGGCACTGCCCGGCCTGCCAAGCACAGGGGATGGTGTCCAACCCCCGTGCTCCAGCGACCTCGGAATAAGCAGACTCTGCTTGTTCTCATTCAGGTGGCATGTTAGTCAGCTCCAGCTGCCATAACAAATACCATAGACGGGGCAGCTTGAACAACAGGACTTCGTTTCTCACAGTGCTGGAGGCTGAAGTCCAAGATCAGGTGCTGGCCAATTGGGTTCCTGGTGAGAACCTGCTTCCTGGTTTGCAGACCACCAGCCTCTCACTATGTCCTCACCCAACGGAGAGAGAGAGCACGAGCGAGCTCCATGTCTCCTCTTCTAAGGGCACTAGTCCCATCAAGGGGGACCCTCCATCATGACCTCATCTAACCCAATCACCTCTCAAAGGCCCATCTCCTAATACCACAGTGGGGGTTAGGGCTTCACCATATGAATTTTGGGGAACATAAACATGTTGGGTGGTCTTTATCTTCACGCTGGCATTCCAGAGAGAAAATAAGTGTTTGAGAAGACTTGCTGAGAGGCAGGTGGGGACCCTGGGTGGAGGGGGAGGGAGGGAGACAGAGGGGACCCAGCCTCGGGGAGACTGCCATACGAGTGGGGCTTCCCAGGGGGTCTGGATGGGCATCTGGTCCTGAGAGGCCCAAGTTCTCTTCAGCAAACCACAAGCTCCGAAACAGCCAGTCACCATCTGATTCTGTCCCTCACCCCACACAGCTAGGGGATCTAAAGAAGGCAAGGGAGTTGGCCAAAATCACACAGGAAGGCAGCCGTAGGCCTGTGTCCCTTCCCCTTGGTTGTGCTGTGTTTTCTTTCATGATACGCTCTGAGGCCCAGGCTCGGGCCTCCTGGGTCTAGCCTGTCCCCACCTCCCCAGCATCTGTGGAGCCAGGCTCGGTGGAAATGGGCAACAAGGTCTAGGCTCTGAGCAGACGACAGATCCACAGGTGCTCTGATTCCTGTTCTGTTCAAGCCTCATAGCTAGGAAATCCATTATTGCATCAGCCTCCCGGCCTCAGATGAAGCGGGGGAAGTTGCATCTTTCTGTTTCCCAGACTGGGATCTGAAATGACCACAAGTATAGGGAATAAAATATGGAATCAGTGGGCCCAAATCATTCACACCCTCTAGGGAGACGGCCTGCATGCTTTGTGCAGGTCAGAATCCACCGCGGCACCTTGTACAACAGACCTGTGAGTCCAGGACAATGAAGTGCAGATGCACGCACAGCCGAGAGGCACCACCCTGATTATATGGCTCGGTCTTAGCCTGTCGTCTCCTCCTGCCCCACAAAACCTGAGCAGCTGTCCCTAAGGCATAGGCTTTGCTCCCAAATATTCAGAATCCTAGATGACTCTTTCTGATTGCAGATACGGGACCTTGGGTGGCAGCATTTCAGACCAGACAGAGAAGGGTCTGTCCTGTTCATGGGGTCCCGCTGTGCAGCTCAGGCTCTGACGAGGCCTCCGGCTGGTCTGGCCACCCCGATCCCTCCCTTCAGCATCCTTTTTGTCTAGATGCCAGGGTCACTCTCTATGGGATGAAAAAGCTGCCAGAACCAACTGTTTCTCAGAGGCGTCCCATCTCCTCTGGGCTGATGTCCAAACCCCCTAAACAGAGCTTCCACCACCTGCAGCTCGGAGCCCCGACTCGGTGTGGCAAACGTCCCTCTGGTTGTTGCTGTGCACAGCCGGTCCTGCCAGGTGGCGCCACGCTCCACACCCTGCACACCCAACACGTGCCCGCAGCCCTGGCACACAGGCGCCTTTACTGATCCCTTCCCGCTTGTAACAGCATTTCCCAACCTCTCCAACACCTCAGGCTGGTTCTCTCTCTTGGGAGTCTGTCCTGTGCCTTGTAGGGCATTTAGCAGCTCACTGCCCTCCATTTACCAGATAACCAGTAACACCTCCCTGGGTCATGACAACCAAAACTGTCTCCAGACATTGTCACATGTCCCTTGGGGGACAAAACCACCCTGGTTGAGAACCAGGCTGACTACGTAGATGCTGCAGCCTGTTCAAGGGCTGCCACAGCCCTGCACCTGCCCAGCCCTGAGGGCGAGTGTCCCCTTGGATCTCCCACCCTGGGCACCTTGCCTCGTCTTCGTCCCAGCCTTACCCACCTGGCCTTCCCTGCTTCGACTCTAGCGGACTTTGAGAGCATCCTGCCCACAGAGCGTTTGTTTTGCTTCATTAAATGCCCATTCACTAGATTTGAAACGCTTTGAGGGCTGTTTCTGCTGGTCGTCCTGCCCTGTGCTGTCCCCTCCCAGGCGGAAGGAGGCCCGACCTCTGTGACAACAGAATACAGCAGAGGCGAGCGTGTGCCTCCCAGGCTAGGCCGAGGAAGGTACTGCAGGGCTGCCTTGTCCCCTGGATCAGACCGCTGGTGCAGGGCAGCAGCAGCCACGCTGCGAGGATGCTCCAACAGCCCCACGGCGAGGCCCTCACGGTGAGGAACTGAGGCCTCTCACCAAGAGCCAGGACACCTCTGCAGCCAGGCGAGGGGGCACCTGGGAGCGAATCCTCCACCCTGTCAGTCCTGCCGACACCTAAGGCCAGAATCAAGCAGCCCGGCCACTCTCAGATTCCCAATCCCTAGAAACTGCGAGGGACGATAGGTGACTATTGTTACTCAAGCCACTAAGTCTGGGGATGATCTGTTACATAGTGTTAGATAACGAACGCAACCTGACCAGCTTCCTTTCTCCAGATTATCCTGGGGCCCACATGGATGCCCCTGCACGGCACCCCCTTTCTGTTAAATATGGAATCAGTTGAGGACACACACGCTCACGCTCACGCTCACTCTGTGCTCCCCGGAGCAGCAGTGGCCTCCTCCCTGTCTGCCTTAGGTGTCACTCCAGTCCTGGGCCTCAAATCCCTGCTCAGTCAGGGAAGGTCAACAAACGGCAGGAAGGGTGATGGCACAAAAATTCACGCAGAGACCGCCCGCTGTCCACTCCAATGCCCATCGCCCCTTCCTTAGAGACGGGACCCCAGGTTTTAGCTGGGCAGTGAACATCCAGAATAAAGACCGTCCCGGGCCTCCTAGCAGGTGGGAGTGTCCACATGACTAACCTCCAGCCACTAGAATGTACATGGAAGTGCCAAGTGGCAGCTCCCACGAAACTTCCTTAAGAGGCCACAGTATGCACCCTGTCTGTCTTCTCCCTCCTCCTCCCCCTTCCCCCAGGTCAAGCAGACTGCTGGGCCCAGGAGGTGGGAGCTCCGTGCTGAGGGTGGCAGAGAACCAGGAACTGCGCAGGGCTCCCGGGTGTGCGGCATGCTACTCCCGCTCCAAAATCTTCCATCTTGCCTGTCTCGCCTTTTCCGTTCCCTGCAGCCAAGTTTAAT